AGAAAAAGTGAGAAGAAGAAGAAACAAAGGAATGTTAGAAGGTTTGAACAGCTTTTGTGTTTTTGGTAAATTGGACTTTAACTCGTTACCTTAAGCCAGTGTCTTTTTCCTGGTTCATATATACTCTGCAAATTGAAAGAATAAAAATAAATAAATACAAAAACAAAGACAGGCCTTTACTCATATTCAAGAAAATCATGCCAAAACAAATTATCAGTTAAAATTAATTTACTAAAATTATGTACTACATTACATTCACATCCTTGAGAACAAGTCCTTCCAGACCTTCATTCATGGCTCTTGTCATCAACTTGGACAGCTCTTTTTCTGTCTATACAGAGTAGACACAATATTGTTTTACCCAAACTCTTGAATATTCATTAGCCTTACTGATGACATAATTAGCATTATAGTTCATTATAATTTAACTTAAGACTCCGGTAATTAAGCATCAATGCCATTTTCACTAAGTCCAAAGCTGGTTAGTCATCCCTCCCGCCACTCCTCTCTTCTTTACTTTCTAGATACTTTCAGTCAACTCAGATGGCTTTGCTCATCTGGGGTGGCTATCGCACAACTTAATGCTAATAAAGTAAACAGGAGGGATGATGTACTATTCTACATATTAAATGAAATACAGAATGAATCTGCAAAGGAAAGTGGGGAAAACTATGCTTCAGTATTCAAAGAAGCTGTTGCACTAAAAGGGCTTTAAAGCCCCATTATCAAAATTTCAATTCTCATTTGGTTGCTCCTATACATTCATTTCAAAAGCAGTGGGGAGAAGCTGTCATTTAATTCATTGTCTGATCATGTCTTTAATTCTCATCACCACACTGTTTAACAGAGTATTGACACTACAAAGAGAAATTTTGTGTTGGTAACCCTTGAGGTTTAGTGTTAAATTAATCCCTTTCACTCCTGATTCAAAAAAAGCAAAACAAACAAACAAATGCTGAAAAACAAATGGTAAGATGTATCAGTGATCTTCAGTATTTTTCATTAGAATGGTCACATTTCAGACAGCATGTACAACTGAAATCACATACCCTTAAGAAGTTTGTTTCAGACAACATGATTTTATTTGGAATGACAGTGACGTTTTTTTCCAGGATTTGCCGCCTTTCTTTCATACTCCTGAAAACATTCAAAGTCAAAACACGGTAGAAGATCAACTAGAATTACCAGTACTGTAATCTCTATCAAGGTAAAATTTGAACTGAATCTTAACGAAAACAACAGTATTACAGTAGAACCCCAGTAACTCAAACTCTGAAGGGAAACGAAAAACAGTTCGAGTTATTGGGTAATTTTCAGTGAAGTTTTGACTAAGGGGACAGAAATTTCGATTGAGTTAGTGAGGAATTCGAGTTATCCAAGTTCGAGTTATTGGGGTAGACTGTATCAACAGAGTTCACAATCTGTGAAACCTACTTTTTCATCACATTTTCATCGTTAAACTGAAGGCAGTCAAAGATAAATAAGCAAACACTGGCATCTTTAAATGCTGATTTCTGGGAAATGAGAGGAAAACATGTGATTAGTAGCGCGCACCATATTAAGAAAAGCTGAATGCTAAAAAAGATTCCAAAAGGCTACAAAAGGGCCACTGAAAAAAGGCATCAAACAGGCTGTTTATCTGATATAAAGACACTGAGCAATGACAGAGTAAAAAACAAACAAGTTAAGGTATGGAAAGGTTTTTTCTACACCAACTAAGTGATACCTGGCTTTTATAAGGAATGGTTCAAGTGTTCAACATAGTTTTATCAGATGATCAGTAATTCTTGAAGAAATTCAAACTTAAGATAAAGTTTGCAAAATTTTATTGTACAGTAACAATTGCCATTACATGATCCCTGTTTTGTTAGCCTGTAAACAGGCTCCAAGGGAAGCGTGGTGTGGAGAGAACGGAACCTCCCTTTCTCTCCATCCCTTTCCCCCACTAGAGCAGGGGCATTTTGTAGACTATTGTTTCTAACCATTAGTCATTAATCAGTTTGAGAATGTTACATGAAAAGGCAAGGAGCCCATTAACAAGCCAAGTCAAACAGCAGGCCCTCATGAAGTGCGCCTAACGAACTTTAACGCATAAAAAATATTCTCTGCCATGTCAAGAGTGTGATATTCCCTGAGCTGCATTTTCTGTAACATAGTAGACCTATGAAATAATTTATGGAACTGCATGTTGTGTTTTTAACCTAACTACAGCTGTTCGAGTACCTTATGGACACCTAGAGTTCCAAATGGAAGAGGAGTGCCAGTGTTGGTATCTACAAGCAGAACCTGTGATTTGAAGTATAATGAAAAGCATTCAAATTTGTTATAAGAGAAGGCAGAAGTGAGGTACCTGACGAAAAGTTGCTTATAACTAGACCAATTTGAGCAAAAAAATACAATATTTGCTTGAATAAGTGGCACAGCAAAAATAATATTAAAACAACTGAGTATGTGGAATAATTACGATCATCCAGGTGAGAGTAGTTGTGAATAGGACTGTTGTTAATGACAGTGTCTGATGTTTGGACAACCTGTGTTGTAGTCATCTTCAGAGTCAAGGTGAGTTGTACAAGCATCACATTAGTTGATGGTATTAAACACTGGTTACTGTTGAAATGCCTGTCACTGTCAACAACAGTCTTTATTATTCAGGACTACATTTTCACCTGGGTGATCATTTCCCACCTATTTTGAATGGAATGACTACTCCTGGGTTCAAACCATTCGCAGAACAGCTGATGATTACCTCACTGTCCAGAATCAAGTTGTTGCCATGGGGACAAGCTTTGGGGAGGTGATCCTTAATAGGAGCAACCTGAAAAAACAAAAAGAACTATATGACAGGTCTGAGACAAGAAAGTTTCGGCAACCTTGGAAAGTGTGAAAGAGAAAACACAAAGAAGTATCAAGCTATTATCATGGGATTCACAGTAAGAGGAATCTTGACTACAATAAAACACTTCTTATAGTACATGTTCTTTCCGATGTGTAACTACAGTAACTAGTGTTTATACACTGTCCTATGAATATTTCATGGCTTCTTATAGTAGCTAGTCCATCTTAATGTTTCCTTCAGATTAACACATAAAGTCATAGCAACAACATCACATACCTTATGTGCAAGAACTGGCTTAAGGCTGCGGCTAAAAAACTGAAAGTTACTGCCACTCTTGTGTACCTTCAAAAATTAAGAAAAATAATGTAGAAAATGTTTGCCTAACATAAACTTTCATAAAGGCAAACCATACAGACTTGAAAAAACTAGCCCATGAAGTCTCTAGAAAAATATCTATGACATATCAAATACCTAAAGTCAATCAAATTTATATAAAACTATTACAATTTATTTCATATTATTCATGTACATTTACCTGAACTCTCTCTCCGTCATACTTGATCTCTGCAAACATTCCATTGGGACATTTCTTCACTGCTTGTGAAAAACTTTTGCAAGCTTCTGCCTGGGTACAGAAAACAACTATTTAGAATTAGATTTATAATGAGCTGGAAACTTTGAGGATCACACTGACTACTTGAGTAAAATTATGTAAATTTATCCTGCAATGGAGATCAAAAGTGTTTTTTAAAATAACTAAAACTAGCGACCTACCCATCCCTTCCCAAACAATGTTGAATTATGAGAAAAATATATAAGTAGAAATAAGTTCAATTTTGGGTGCAACATTGCAGGAGGGGAGTAGACCAGATCCAAATTTGTCATTTGGAGCAGAGTCATATGTAACAATATAACTTGGAACAGTTTCTCCACAGTTGTCACAAGTTTTTTTTTGACCTCCACAGTAGATCCTGATTTACACCATTGATACATACCAACATTGGTTTGACTGGTGTCATCAAAGAAGCCCTTATGCTCAGCTTTTTACTCATTCCTGGTAAAACACCAGATTTGATATGTTTCTTTTGCAGGCATCTTTGTACAACGTCGCTCAGGTTATTTGATGCTTGAAATGCCTCATATGCATCAGGATCAAGAGCATCCAAACTAAAACAACAACAACAAGTCATCAAGGACAATAGTGATGATAAAAATGTTGTCATGATGAACAATGATGATGATGATGATGAAAAACATAGTGACAACAACGAAGGTAATGGTAATTGACAATGGAGATGATGAAAGTGATGCAGGTGATATCGTATTTATTCGAATAAGCACCCAACCTTGAATTATCGCCCACCTCAAATAAGCACCCATCCTAAAGGCAGAAAAAGTTAGTAAGTGCCCAGCCTCGAATAAGCGCCCACCCTCTCCCTTTCACACTCAAACTCAAATAAGTGCCCACCCTCACCCCTCCCCCCTTCCTGCTCTCACCACCCAGAAACTTGAATATAATACACTAATAAGACACTACTCTGAAGATGGAGTTTTTGTGAGAGTAGTTTACAGGAACCTTGCTTTTTAATTGTTACATCTTTGCGTTTTGTTATTACCATTTATTGTTTTGTTGCAAAATAAGCATACTACACTTGCTGAAAATGGTGAAATTTTAGTAGCCTCGAATAAGTGCCCACCCTCAAGGTCCGAAATTTAATAAGCATCCAGGTCGGTTAATCAAATAAATACAGTAATATGAAGATGATGACAATGATGATGATGATGACAATGATGACAACGAGATGATGATGACGAGGAGGAGAAGTACCAGGGAGAAGGAGAAGGGAAGGATAAAAAATTATTAATTAATATTAACTATTGAATAGTTAATATTAATTAATATTTTTTATCCCCCCCTACGGTATTGTTGTTTGCCTTTACAACTCCTGCCGCATACATGTTCTGTTATTTTCTTACACGTGTTTTGCTCCTGTGTTCATTCGTAGGTCATGTTTAATCAGTCGAATGATAAACTTCAGGTCATTTGCAGTGCATCTGAAAATGACAAAAGCAATGACATGTCAAGGAAAATGATTTAAGCTGTCCCAGGTTTGTGGGTGTGACTAACTTTTATTGTCACATCATTCTACACAAAGTTTTTTATGTCGAGGCTAATAGAGTGATGTAAAAACATGCAATCATGAATGCAAACCAAATGAATGTATGCAGTTTACTCATTGTACAAATTGTATGCAGAACATTTTAATCAAGGGTTTAAGATTTACACACTTCCTTGCCATTTTTGTCAGCTCCCTCTGTTGATCATCCTCCTTTGTAAAGCTCTTCAGTGTATCCAAAAACAAATCAACCTAACAGACCAATTTTATTGTTACAAACATGTTAACTAAGGATCGATGGCTCCATATCAATAACAGCCTTTACTATTCTCTCACTTTTTCAACATTTTACAGCGACTGCATACTAGTCTACCAGAATTACGTTTTGCCCACTTAAGGATGGTTAAAAAGTGTCCATCTACAGTATGGGAGGTAATCATTAGAAGAGGTGTTTATTAGCTGAGGTGAATGTTAGAAGAGGTGTTTGTTGGCTGAGGTGTTCATTAGCAGCGGTGTTCATTTGCACCCTCGTCAGGTGCCTGTTAGTAGGTGTCACACATTAGCAGAGGTGTCAGTTGGCAAAGGCGTTCGTTAGTAGCTCAATAGTCCATTTTCGAGTTCGCTATGACTGCTGAATTAAAGAAGTGAAGATGCATTTTTTACAGTCTTAGCCTCAATCTGAAGTAATATAATTATTCACAAATTCCAACAAGAAAAAGACCTGTTTATTACTCGGTCTATTGGGTATTTTCAAATTTCAAAAACTTAATTACTTGCCAGAATCTCTGAATATTTAACAATTATTCTTTGAAATCGAGGTGAATAGTGGCAAAATATTTACCGAGACGCGAAAGCGGCGAGGTAAATATTCCCAAAGCCACTATTCACCGAGATTGAAAAGAATAATTGTTTTAGTATATACACATGAAGTGATCTCAACAAAATCAGAGAGGAAACCATTCAAAAGTACGATTTGATTGACAGATCAAATCACGCGTAAGTTTTAAAAATAGATCTTTGCAGAAATTTCAAACATGGCAATTCACAAGTTTATCATTTTACGCAAACAACAGCGTAATGGCTTAAATGGAACCGCTAAAAGTTTGAACTGTTTCCTTACCTGAGAAGAAAAGTAGAGCTGTGTTGTTTTCTGTTGACTCGCCACGTTTATAGCCAAAAGGGTTTGTTGTGTCGTTCTTCGCATGAAGTGCTGACAAAAATGGCGGCTCATTTGCTCGAGGTAAGACGTCGTCTTTCTGTATCATTCTTTTTCCTGTTTACTTGAAACGTAGAATTTCTGCAAACATTTCCTTTTAAATTTGTTTTTCATAAATAAACTTCGATTTTTGAGCCAAAATTGTCTTCTTAGAAAGCGGAAACGGCTTCTTCTACGCGAATACACGGGAGTTGTAAACAATCCATCGAGCACAAAACTCCTGCTACTACTGAGTGCTACAGTAAATTGAAAAACGCCGTATTGAATCCTTCCAAGTCTTTTCTTGCCTTAAAAAAAGTCAGCCCTAGGATTCTGTCGACTTTTAAAAGATCGTTCTCTAAAAAATGGGAAAAACACTGAGCTCACACATTATCCACTCGCTAGGAGGTGAATATTGTTGAATAGTCCGAGATAGTGAACCAATCAGATTGCTTAAATCACCAAGATCACTGAGTGTGTATATACTAATTTACTTTATGTCGAGGCTAACCCTGTATGAATGTGTCGTTAATGTTTATGTTGTAGTTAAATTTTTAATCCAGGTAATTTTTGTTTTTCTTTTGTTTTTTGGTATGGTAATGTATGCTAATGAAGTTGAAACAAAGGAAAAATAAAAATTACCTAGGATAAAACATTAACTACAACATTTATATTCAGTGGTAATTTTAATTCGAAACTGGACTATTGTTTATTAGATGTGGTGTCTGTGTTTATTACAAGAGGTGTCCATGAGCAAAAGTGTAAAGAGATGGAAAATCTGGGTTGATCATTGAATCTTTGCATCCTGGCCTCAGTTGTCTTCAAAAGGTGGATAATGCTATCCATCAGATAAATCACTGTCCACTAGATAATGTCATTGGTTTCCCTAACTCTTGTCCACTAAATGGTGATTTATACAGTGGATAGTGCTATCCAACCGGGGCCTTGAGAACAATTCAAACCAGTTGAATTTTGTGCAAGATGACCTTTTCATAAAGTGTCGTGATATCATCCATAATGTCATGCAACCTATCCAGGCTGCTTTTGCCGCACTGTTAAACTTTATGCGAGTCAAACCCATGCTGGAGTGGTTGAGTGGTAGAATGCTTGACTGCAAAGTGGTAGGTCCCAGGTTCCATTCCCTGGATTGGACCAATACGAGAATTGAGAAATAAGGGTGCTGACAGTCTTTGTCCTGCAAATAGCAAATAAATGGTTTTTTTTTTTCAACATACCTCTTGCAGGGCAACTAAGCTCTTCTTCAATGGCTTTAAAAGAAGGCCACTTTCAAAGAAAGTGCTGACAGTTTCAGACACATCTCCCTATATAAAAAGAAAATCATTACTTGGATTAAAAAAATAAAGATAACATCATACTTTATAGCTCTACCTAATGTTGTATTTTCATCATTAATTTTGTCATTTTCAATTTCTAACCTGTTCTAAGTCTGTCAACATATCATCTTGACTACAACCAAATATCTGAAAATAGACAATAATAACTATCACAAATTAACATAATCTCTGATTTTCTACAGTTCTATAATCAAACTTTATAGAGCAAATAAATTAAAATGCTTCTACATTTTCGTATTTCAGTAAGTTCTAAAACTCACAGAACCATGAACACCAGAAATACATTTGAGATGTTATTGTGTAGTGAGAAAAAAGCCAATAAAAAAGTTTCTAGTTTTATTATTTAAGGTTTGCTCATGTGTCCTGAATTTTATTGTGATAGGTCACTACACAATAAACAGTCCGGACATTTTTCAGAAGTTCACGGTTTTCTGAGATTGACAGTAATTATTAGTAATTTATAGTCTTTTTTTTTCTTTTTTTTATATCGTAAAAGCAAGTGACTTACAACCAAACTGCTCCAAAGTATATTTGAAATCACCAATTTTTTAACCATGCACTTTTATTTAAGATGGATTTACATGCACACCCATGTTTTATTTTTACCTGGCTAAATAGTTTTATGAGCTGTTTGCTTTGTAAGTTATAAACACGTTTGTTTACTCCTGGCAATAACATCTTTACCCATAATAAGAGATCGCCTTCAAAACCATCTGAAGAATAAAAAACAATAATATCAAGAGTTTGTACATGCATCTTCACATTTTTTTGAATCCCTAGATATAAGAAACCCCTGGATATGAGAGAGGTTATCAGACTTCATGTTCACATTATTAACGGCAAACACGAAATTGCACCAGGTGACCAAGTTTCTCATTTACTTGTTGTTTACTGTTCATTAATTCTACACCTAAATATATACAGTCGACTCCCGGTAACTCGAATCCTCTATAACTCGAACCTCCCGTTAACTCGAAGTAATTTTCAATTCCCTTCAGATCATTTTCCATACAATTTTACCCACGATGACTCGAACTCCCGATAACTCGAACCTTTTTCTATTTCCCCTGAAGGTTCGAATTATTGGGAGTCGAATGTACTAGTTTCACAGAATTTATAAGAATTGTTTTGAGCAGTTTGTATCTGCCTATTTTCTATTTTGAGAAATTTTCAACTTGAATCTGAAGTTTGCCATATAGGTGAAGCTTAAAATCTCTATAAATTCTTTATTCTATTACTATTGTGAAACAAAGTCAATCAAATATATTCCTAATATTGCATAAAAACACCAACCTCCAGAGGCCCCTTTCTCGAAGAAGTCTTCTAGAATCTTGCTCTTGGCATTATAGCTTGGTTCTTCAGCAAGTTTAATGCAGATTCTTCTAAACTGTCTGAATGAATTATCCAGGCTATTCTTGTCACTTCCAGTCTTGACTGGAGAAGAGCTCTGATCACCACTACCTTTGGGAGCAGCAGTTGTCTTAGGAGACTTAGATGATGCTGAAGCCTTGGTATTACCAAATGCAAGAGTGGACTGCACTGTTTTTTTCTTGGGTGAAGGAGTCATTTTTGATGACGAATCTAAGATTGTTAAAAATGCCATTAAAAACAAAACAATTTATTGCTTGTTGTGAACTTTCCTCTTTTATGGGATTCTCATGGGAAAAATTGGAAAGATCCCTTATGGGTGTCACAGTTTTATTTTGCTGGCATAACACAGATTCAAATTAATAAACAAACCCCAAACCACTTACACAACAGCAGCTGCCAGGGTTTTCAATTAGAGCTGGTGGCCGGCGAAATTCGCCGGCCGTTTCATGTCAACTCGCCGCCAACTTTTCTTTGGAAATTATCCCAGTTTAAATAGAGTATTGATGTGCTGTCACTGAATAATAAAGCCAAAATTTAATGATGTCTGTTCCCTGTTCTTGAAAACACTCTAATTTTTGCTCCAGAATGCTGGAAATGCATTCTATGCATTCAAATTTTTCCAGAAACTCGCGCTCGCAAGTTGCGCCTTTGCCGTGAGTTTGTCTCCTTCTTCACCTACTCCAAAGCTATTGCCATCTACTTAAAATCTTATCAAAAACCCTGAGCTGATGTCATCTTTTAGCTCAATTCTCTGCATTAACCTGACAGTGTATGAAACCGACTCTGATGATATCTCTCCCTTTGGAGTTCATGGTCACAAGGAAGTGAGGTACATAATAAATAATTAATACATATTAATAAATAATTAATTATAAATATAGCTTGGGAAAAGGCTATCTCTTCCTCCTCCACCGTTGCAACCCACTATGACTCTTAGGGCACTTACCATTTGTCAGAACTGGCCAGCCAGACCACTGCCCTACCGGTCAGTTTGTAAATGAAATCGACTTTTTCCAAGAGTTTTTGCTGAAAAACCATCTCCTTTGTGCATATTATTGGGGATTTGACTGATCTGGCTGGAGAGTTTTGATTAAAACTGAAATTCTCATTGCAACGGGAATGGTCTGGCCGGTCAGTTCCCATGACAAATAGAGAGCGCCCTTACTCTTAGCCTCTCGTAATCCTAGGGGGGTACTCAAGAAAGTTTTATATGGGGAGGCCAGCCCCTTACCCTTTTATACACCATTTTTTTAAAGGAAAGGTATTTCTTTCATATACCTTCTATTGATGAATGGTAATTCTTTCACATACCTAGTTTCAACTGCTGCAAATGCACTGTCTTTTAAGTATGAATAAATTACAGCTTAAGCCCCAGTTGTTCAAAAGTTGGATAACGCTATCCACCAGCAGTTTCAACAACTAGGACCAGAAATTTTCTTGACTCTTTCACAACCATATAATGCACCTTTTGGCCTTTTTGTGCCTCTCTGCAGACTGAAATGACAGATCTCCCTACCCTTCATAGACCAACAGCCTGAAAATGGTACCCCGTACAAGGAGATCGTTTAAATTTAAGCATTTTAGAATGAAAATACTGACAGGGCCTAGACACTGAAACAAATCCTATAGGAAATAACAGACCTTTAATAAGGCCTTTGACTTCCTTTTGATCATCATCATTCAGTTTGTCGAACCCATCTAAATCGTCCGTGCTGTCAATTTTCTTGGTTGTGGCCCGTGCTCTGGAAAGGGACTCAAATATGCAACGAACATGATACCATTGTTTCATAATTCCTCCATCTTCACTAAACGGATTGGAAACCAATTTGCCAATTCGCTTGGAGTTCTTTTCTATCTGCTGCTTGCATGTTTTGCATTTAGCTCTTCCTTGTGCAGCGTACTCTACCACAAAAGGTTTCTCTTCAGCTGAAGCCATCGCAATGATGTGCAAAAACCGTCTTTGATTCTGGGCTAAACCGTGCTTGAGAAGCTTGATGCTAACTCTCGTAATAGCAAACATTGACAATATACACTCATTTTATCCACTTTTTTTGCAATGCTGTCGAAAACTCAAGGCAAGTTCGAACTTGTGCGTAAATAATAAATCAATCGCCCACGATCCGTCATTTTGTTTTGAATATGGTGAAATGCATCCTGGGAATTTAGGTTTTCAAAGTCCGCTGACCAATCAAGTGCTGCTTCACAAAAAATCAAAATGGACGATTTGTTTGGCGATCTCCCTCCACCTTGTAATATAGAAAATAGAATCTGCTTGATGTCTTAGCTTTTTAAGATGCACAAAGTAACACTTTTCCCTTTTTCTTGTATTTTCAGCGAGTGGAGGTGATACTTCGAGCTCGGCGGGAAATCTATATGATGATCTTCCGGCCACCGAAAGTAGAAACAACAAAAGAAAACTTGACGATTGTGAAGACGACGAAGTGCCGGCTAAAACATCTGCCCTGCGTAAGATAATGAACACTTTTTTCTTAGTTTTAAGATATAATCTAGGTGTTTAGGCTGTAGATTTATTAAAGGGTGAGTTGGGGACGTACCATTTAGTGTCAGCACCTCCACTGTACTGTGTACTCCCGGCCCGCTAAGGATGACTTGAATATTAAACCCTCAAATACTTGTCGGCGCCCTTTGAACAATGGAAATCGAAGGGTTCGTTCTTTGTAAGCATCTTTGAAATTTTTGTGTCCAAAGGGTCAAAATTCCAAACCCCACTATTCGAAAACACGTCATCCTTTATTATAGGGGGGAGGTGGGGGGGGAGGGGGTAGGGGGGTTGCGGATAGAAAATGGAACACTCCTGTGAAACCACTTTCATCCATTGATTTGCTGTGCTATATTTTCTGCTGCCTTATGCCCATGCCAGGTGCTTCTTGGACTTCTCGCATATTTGGCAGTGGTCCTGGCACAAGGTAGCCTGCGAAAACATCCGTTTCTCCTCGCTCTTCGCCGCTGTGAACGTTTCGCGCAGAGGAACGTCTGCGACTCAGTGGCAGAAATTCCATACTGATGACGCAAATCAATGTTTACATAATAAATCCGATAGTCATGGGGTTCCAAATACAAATTTGTCCAGTTTTATGTGTCTTCTGGTCGGTTTTGGTGAAGTGTTGTGTGCTTCTGACAACGAGCTCCAGCAAAACTCAAATACTTCTTCTAGAGAAGACTATATTCCACAAATATTGACTGTTTTGTTAGAGATACTTCGCGTTTACATTTGACCTTTGTGGCCTTTTGTCTTTTGTCTCTCATTCGTAGTCAATAGCTAAAACAATGTAACTACTCCGTCGAAATCCGTCGAAATCCGAAAACAGATTTCACCTCCGAGAAATCCGTCCTCAGGGTGGATTTCAATTAAGAAATCCAAATCCGGATTTCATGGATTTCCTTTTTACCGTTCGATTGGGAAATCTGAAAAAGGATTTGCAAAACTATTCTCGCGAACAGTGGTCTTCTTTTTGCTAAGAATGCGTGCGCATGCAAGACCGTTGTTCTTAAGGACAGTTTTTCAAATCCTTTTTCGGATTTCCCAATCAAACGGTAAAAATGAAAATCCAAAAACAGATATCTCAGCGCTGAAATCCGTTTTCGGATTTCGCGCTCAATTGCAAATCCGAAATCCGGATTTTAGAATCTAAATCCAGATTTCCCAATCGAACGCACCCAAAGCTATCAATCTGTGAGCCATTTATATTTTTAGTTTCTGGAGAGTATCCAGCACCAATTAACACTGCCCAACGTTTTCCCACAGAGTCCAAATATATACTGAGAGGCTTTGTTGCTGAAAGAAAAGGGGAAAGGTTTGACATGCAAGATGCACATGTCATCTGTGATGATTTCTTAGAAGAATTTGACACTAAACCCACTGGAATGTAAGCTACATTTATATATTTTTATAATATATTTAAATAGTACTGGTAATAACCAAGGGTTAATAGGGAGTGTGGGCGACAACGATCGGAGCTCCAAATGCTTTTGCTCCAACGCTGTGCTTTGTGTAAGTTTCACATGACAGATGATCAGAACACGCGTGATCAGATTATGAGGGGTAGAAAGTAGAAATGTGAGTGATCAAATTACATTTTGTGAATTCCATTCATTCTTAGTGGAAGTCCAACTGAATATTAGCTACATACGTGTGACGCATGCATATTAACAACCTGGAGATTAGGACTAGTGCGGGCTGCTCTTTTTACCTGCAATCTAAGGGTTGGGACAGGCAATATTCCAAAAACATTTCTAGAGTTCACTATTTTGAGAGTGTGAGACTCACTGCTGAAACATCTATATTGGGTGACCTGTGGCATAACAATTGGTTAAGTCCCAAGGGCCACAGATAGCCCACATTGCATTATCTTTAACTGTATCCTGGTTTGTGTAGCTTGAAGAAGTAGTGTCTCCTGGATGAAAGAATCATTCAGCCCTACTATTGTGAATTTTCATGAAGTTCGAAATAAAGTCAGAAAGTCAATGCCATCAGATTAGATTGTCTCACTGGAAAAATACACTGTGGACTCCATTTTATCCGCTTGTTTATGTATGTTGTAAGAAGGCTTTCTGTTTACTGTACCAGTTGTTTTGGATCTTTGACACTTGCTACCCACTGCCCAGGGGCCCCACTCACATATTTTAATGACGGGGGGTTCCGACAGAGGTTCATATTTTATACCCAAAAAAATCCCAACTTCAGAATTTGTCTACCCAAAAAAATCCCTACTTTTTTTAGCATATCCAAAAAAATCCCTCAGTGGTTTTGCATCAGCAAATTTTTTTATTTATCTTCTGGAAAGCTAAAACATGCCAACTTCAACTTTGGTTTTGGTAAAAAACAAAACTATAAATTGCGTTTATGTTATTGTTGATTTGAGCTGATGAAAAATACAATACCCAAAAAAATCCCTGTGTTGTTTTCGCGACCCAAAAAAATCCCTGTTGGCCAAAATGTCAGACCCCAAAAAATCCTTCGGACCCCCCGTCATTAAAATATGTGAGTGGGGCCCGTGGGACCCACTGACACTGGGGATCTTCTGGCAAATCCTTTTTACAAATGAATTTTATGATTTTTTTGAGAATGATCTGTCTGTACTTTCAGATCAAGGATGTGTTACTATGGTGTCTTTGATGGCCATGCTGGTCCCAGGGCAGCTCAGTTTGCTGCTGATCATTTACACAAGAACATTATTCTCAAGTTTCCAAAAGGTTGATGGTAAATACTATAGATAATGACTGGTCTCTTTAAGAAATCATTTAATATAATGAAAGCTACATTCGTAATAATGAAGTCAGCACTTTTCTATGGTGCAATTTAGTATACTGTATAAGGATGTGCATGGTTCTAAGACTAACTTTCTCAGGGTGTCACAATTGTGCTGTCTGATGGCCTGAGGTTAGTGGAGCTGTTACAGGTCAAAATTAAATTCAGGTTTAAATATTATTTTTTAACCTAGGTTGATTCTCAATTTCCTTTGTCTCCTAGCCCCAGGTAATTAGTCATGATTTAGGTCTAGAAGGCAAAGAAAATTATTGAGAATCAACTTAGGTTAAAACATTTTGACCTGTAACAGATCTACCCATCTTGCAAGCATGTTTTTATTGCAGTTCATTTGAAAGGCAAGCAGCAGTTGTCAAGTTAAAGTAAATTTAAGTTAAAAGGGGGGCTGATAGGCTGGGCTAGTAAACTTCCACAGTAGCTTGCCTCAAGGGCAAGCAATTTTTTAATTTTCATCTCACCCAGTTTCTTTATTTTTGGTAAAATTTACAGGTTAAACAGTTAGAATAATAATTGTATACTGCATAGTAAAACTTCTTAACTATTGTCTTATTTGTGGCTGTATTGTGAATTTTGTGTGTACATTCAAGTTATTTTCTATTCTTCTGTGTATTCTTCAACATTTTCAGGAGAAACAACCAACAAAGACAGAGAAATAAAAAAGTGTATGACAGAAGCTTATAAAAAGACTGATGATGAGTTCCTACAAGAGGCTTCCAAAGCGTAAGTATCAGCGTGGATATAACAATTTACTGAAAGTACTGAAAAAATGTGTTCATTTATTATTACCGTCATGTCTAGTTGGTGAATTATATAAAAAAGTATCCTTCTGTTATGAATCTGTAGGAAATGACAAGTGAAATATGTCACTGGGTATATTTAGTAATTTGTACCGTACCAAAGGGAGCTAAGTCTTCTCATTAGCATCTGTGTCCATTTTAAAGTTTAAGGGAATGTATCAAACCCAGATGGTATTCTTGGGACCCAAAGAACAGTCTCTCATAAAGAATAATTATTGTGAGTTATATGTATAGAGATGTCTATTTTTCCTCACAAAATTTTTTGATGTTCACTTAGATCACCAGTATGGAAAGATGGTTCCACTGCTGTCACAGCATTAGTTATGGATGATGTGTTATATGTAGCCAACCTTGGTGATAGCAAGGTATCACTACATCATTATTATTTTGTAACTTAAACTAGAAATAACCAAAGGTTAGGGGTTTCAGGTGAGATACGTCAAAGGTCAAAGTGCCCTTATACCCTCGGTGCTGTGTTTTGTGTAAGCTTCACATATAGAATATCAAAATGCAGGTAATCAGATTACATGTGATAGAAGACCCAAATGCACATGATCAGATTGCGTTCAATGCATTCCATACATTCGTAGTGAAAGTCCAAAAAAATGTTGGCGATATATGTGCTGCTTATGTGTAACTGGAGATCAGGATTACAGCCTCTTCTGTTCCCTGCAGTAATATTATTAATATTTCATGACACCTTGTAATTTATGAGAAAGCAGCATGTTTTGTCCAAAGGGAACTGAGACTACTAATCTGCAATGAGTTTCCAAGAAAATCTGTTGGTAAATTCCTCAAGGATGTTGTGTTGTACTCTGTTGTGACGATTTCAGTATAGGCATTTAAAAAAATATATGTTGGTGGTGATCGAATTCTGTTACACTGAAGTTAAGTTTTAGTGGAGATCATAGCAGGTGTTTTTTGTTCGTTTGTTTATTTGATTGTTTACCCTCTAGGCACTGCTTTGTCGATGTAGGGATGATGGTAAAATTTCAGTAGTTTCCCTATCCAAAGATCACTCGCCTTCTCAGGTAAGAACGAAGAAGAATTATACCATTTCTTTTTGAAATAGTGGCAAGTTCCTGTTAAAACATTGAAAATAAATACGCCCTGAAAAGTTACGACTTTTAATAAAACCAACTCAGGACTAATTAAGGCTAATGACAATTGAGATAGATTTTAATATAGTAATAGTCTTTTTTACTCACATTCACAGTACGAGGAGAGGATGAGAATTCAAAAAGCTGGAGGAAATGTCAGGTTAATTCCATTTTTTGAAAATTCCTTTTATTCCTACTGTCATATAAGAATAAAATTAAAATAAAAGCCACGGATGCACTGTCAGGCGCCTTCTTCAGGTACACAGCAGTGAAGAGGCGATTGTCCCTAACTCTTTTTGGGATTGCTTTACAATATATAATCTTTTGGCAATGGTAAATTTGACTTGAATACTATGCAGCAAGCAGCAGGTTTTTGTTCTGTCGGTGGATTTACATACCCCATAACGGGTAAGGTCCGTTCCTCTTAACCCTCCAAGCCCCAATATCCACATACAAATTCTCCATATTGATCGTCATACATTCCTTTAATAACTTAAAAGAATTTGATAAAAGATCAAAGCATTTTCCTCTAAGTGATCATTTTGTTAACTCTCTTAACCTTTTCTTTTGATTATTTATTGTAAGGAGAAAATTGATCTTGGTCACCATTGATGATATTCTAAGCCACTTAAGCTATTTTAGTTGCGCAATGTGTACGTTTCGTGGAAGTTTTAGTGACAAGAAATATGTGGAGAAGTTGACGAGAGGGTTTGATCACGGATATGCACCGCGCCAAAATGCGGTGTAATACGATGATACGATGTTTTGAGCGTTTATTGTTGTTCACCGTTAGGGAAGGCCGTGTTCTCGGTGTATTGGAGGTTTCTAGATCCATTGGAGATGGCAGATTCAAGAGATGTGGAGTAAGCTGTGTTCCTGATGTCATGAGATGCACAATCACTGATAATGACAGGTATTAAGTGGCACACCATAAGAGTGGGACCGGAACACAAGTAGTTTTGTTATCTTCATGAAGGACATCAATGTGAAGATTTTAAAGGTCGTCTTTCCCCGTGAAATTTTCGAACCCGCTCTCCCAAAAAATTTGTTCGAGCTGCGATTCTTTCCTAATACTGTTTTAGAGTTATAATAGATCACTGTTGTTCTTTAGGTTTCTGCTGTTGGCTTGTGATGGTCTCTGGAAAGGTTTCTCCGTAGATTCTGCGTTAAAGTTCATCAAAAATATTTTGGAGGTAACTTGCAAATCATTTACTTGTGACTGCTTCAAAACATTCGTACTAATCAATTCGTCCGGAGGAAGCTAGCGTACAAAATGTCAGTTCTTTTCAATCTTTTTACGTTAGTATAACATTGTCTTCAACTCCGTTGATAAATTTGCATTTTCGTGTTTCTCTCACGCACCAACGCTGCCCAAATGCTTAGCTTTCTTTGCGCTTAGCGCTTGTTTGTGTCCCGTTCTCGCTCGGCTCCTGATACCACACTCGCTGGTAACCATGGAAACGTCTTTGTAGGAGGAAGCACTTGTAATTTTACTGTAAGGCAGGAGGTTGGAGGTGTCCTGATATCCGGGCCTAGGTCCCCGGGGGGTCCTCTACGGAATTCTTGGTGAGGGTGTGCCGCCCGGTTCTCCAAATCCTGACCCTATTTTAGACCAAAAAATGTCACTTTTCACACCCGTTTTCAGACTTGGCCTCTAAAACCCACACCTATTCTCAGACCTGGCCTTCAAGAATTGTGTCATCATTACTTAGATTAGAACAGCAACAAAATTGGAATTTGCATATTTCTCTTTCTTTCTTCCCATTTGAAATTGAAACAAAAAATACGTTCGTACACTCCCGTAGTTCCCTTGAAACCATACATGTACCCGATTCCAGATTCCAAATGGGCAAATTCTACACCCGTTTTCAGACCAAAGCGGCGCAAATCCCTACCCTTTAGGGTGGCACATACCTCAATGGCTTATATAGGGGAGTACCTGCCCCCCCTGGGGAGGCCTAGGCATTCTCGTCATAGTGAATAATTTATTTTGTTTCCTTTTTCTTTTTGATAGAGTGAGGAGACTGAAGAAAGTATTCAAAAAGCTGAAAATGGTATGCTTTTGATTTCAATGAAGGTTAATTTAAGACTTGTTAATAGCTCGACGTTTACAGTTTCTATCTCATTCTATCGAAGTTCCTCAGTAGTGTTCTTTAATTCCGTCGTCCCGACCCAAAATTTCCCTCAATCCCGTAATCCTGATGGTGGTTTGGCACCCTCATCCCCCGCACACTTTCAATCCCGAATCTCGCCGCGATTTTGCGGTAAAATCCCGAATCCTTCAAATTTGGCCAATCCCGGATACAACGTTAGAAGGAAGACTCAACTGAAGCACATTGACCCACAGGCTCCCCAGGCTCTATATGGAAGTTCGTTAAAATTTTTAAGTACAACTCGAAATCTAACATACGATAAAACGGCCTCTAAAGGGCTCCAGAAGCGAACAGACCGTAAAACACACAACACAAACACAAGCTGAGTCATTTTTATTGTGAATTTTTTTTCCAAAGATACAATTTAGATCGTATTTTGTTTATTTTCGTACATTCTCTTATAAAATTCAAATTCCAACGAACTCACATGTGGAGTCTGGGCCGCTTGTGATTGACCATGAAAACATTTTTTGGCCCGCTAATAAAATGATACGGGGATCATTGAAGGCTTATAAGTTTGGTAATCTTCAACATCATGAGTTTTTCGTCGTTAGTCTTACCTAGTCACCCCTCCCTTCGTTTATCTTTTCATCCCCTGACCGGTATGGTATGAAGGCTTTGTCTCGCCCTTGGCGCTAAATTACAACTGACAGTTAATTACGTGTTTTGAAAGCTTAGTCATCGTTATGAGGGAAGCTTCCAGGTTTTTTTAAAACTTTTGGTTGCATAAATAATTGAACTGAAAAACTTTTGACTGTTGAATCAATGGATGACAAGTTATGATGTTAAGGAACTGCTTTCTCATTTGCAGGTTCGGAAGATGTCGAAACTGACCCAATGGCTGTGCGGTTCCAGAAAGCGTGTAACAAAGTCGCAAGTGAAGCTGTCAGAAATGGAAGTTCGGATAACGTGACAGTAATGCTAGTGTCAATCACACGACAATGAATTCAAGAAACTGGACAGAGGAGAGGGAGAGGATTATTGTATCTTCCAGGGAGTTTTCAACCCTCCGGTCCCCTCTAAAGAGAAGCTACGAGAAGTGGAATCATGTGGCGGGACAAATACACTACTCAACTTCAAAGAGGAGAGAGGGAATCAATGTTCTTTTCCTGTAAGGTTATTTGACATCTGTCTTTCCTCTGACAAGTGAAGCTTTCCAGAGCGAAAGTTTGGATGATGTGAAACTCATGTCATATCCACCAGTAAAGTGGACAGTGACGCAACTTTCATTCTGAGAGAGAGAGAGCACAGCGGATATTTTACGATATTTTACCGAACGTTCAGCAAAATAGCAATGGTAGAGTTATCTGAAGTTTAATCCTTTCATAATTCACTCGTTGAATGGAAGAACCTAAATGGACTCCGATGTTTTAAATAGTTTATATACTGACCGAGTTATAGAAACTTAGTGACAAAAAAAAAAAAACATAATTACGCTAACGTGTTTAATAAAAGATGACATTTTATTGTGATTTGCCAGTCACTAATTGATATCGCTCATCTATAACAAACAACGTAATCGATAATGCTTGAAAAGTAAGAATATGTATCTGAAAAATCTTGCCTTCCTTGGGGCTTTGAGCCCCTTGGAATCACCCTTGGAATCCTGTAAGTTCTTTTGTTTTTTATTCACATTTTAAGCCATGTGAATTAACTGTTTTTTTCATCCGAAGTGAACATTTCGGTAGAACAGATAACCAGATTTTCCCGCGAGTAGTCACCATCTTTGATTTTGATAGCTGAGGAAGTCTGAGGAGAGCAAAACGTGAAATCATAGTCTGTTCCAGGCTTCAAGACACAGTGGCACCACGAAATAACGAAGAGCCAAGAGACTGGCAAAAATGTTCGCTATTCACCATTCTCACATAGGCCATAACGCACGTTGTTTGCCCCCCAAAATTCTGCATAACCATTGTCGTCGATTTCTCTTGGGGCGACTGTAATACCCAGGAGAAATTGGAAACAATAGTTATGCAAAATTTTGGGGGGTAAACAAGGAGCATTATGGTCTATGTGACAACAGCGAATAACGAGGTTTCGTTTAATCGAGGTTCTTTTTCATATATTTTGCTATGAGAGACTCGGATAACGAAAATCGTTCGTTATACCGAGGGCTGTGCTATATAGAGTTTCGTTATATCGAAGATCCACTGTAGTATGTGCGCGAACGTGAGAACTGTAGTGTGACGGAAAACGCGTCTTATCTTTGCTTCACCTTGTTTACGGGCACTAGTATCTGAGATCCTGGAACAGGTTAGTGGGAACAATATGGTGATCTACAGCGGCCATAAGGCGAAAAGACGAAGTGGAGTTAGGAAAGGAAATAACCCGCGCATGATCCCCTTCCTCCTGCCTCTTGTGACTTGTACCATCACCCAGGCTTTAGTTCTGTTTTATCAGCAACCTCAAGAGTTCAAGAGGCTCCTGCTTGGTTAAAAACCGTGAAAGAACTAAAATAATTGTCATAAGGTCTACACGTCAAATAAAGAGTTCAATTGTACTGAAACTGACAGTCAGCTAGACCTAAGAAACATTTACATCCCTGCTTAAAAAATTGTCCATCTTAAAAAGAGACCTTTCTGAGACATGATCTTCCACGACTTCATTCTTCGCCCAAAAACGTAACAACGTGACAGGACCGATCTTGTCACACCACAACTTCTTGAGGCCACATTCGTGATTCTTCTTTCCCACACATTTGTTGCTTCCAGCTCATAAACGAGACCTTCCGTTTTATGTCCGCGCATCTCTCCAACCTAAGCCTTTTCAGATCCACTTCCTGATTTCAATTATGATTACCCATTAGGGTCATCTCATTTCCAGTGCCCTAAAGCGGTTTATGGCAGCGGCAATTTCTAAGAGTCTGGGTCGAGAATAGCATCCGAGTAGGAGCGTGGGACTAAGTACGTCCAGCCCTTTAGAATCAAAGTCTTCTTCAACCCTAAAAATATAAAGAAGGGTGTCAAGGAGCTTTTCAACTCAGCGTGCAAAGAAAGTAGTGTCCGATAGCCCGGGGCTAGTGGATTTTGCTATCGGGCTAGTAAATTCTGTTTTTAACTCGCCCGACGGCCAAGTGATATTTTTTGAGGAATTCGAATAAAAGAAGAACGGTGAAACCAATTCTGTTAGTCAAAACGTTTTTGGGGCTAGTTGAAATGACGTCTGGGCAAGTAAATGCTAGCTTCAGCTTGCCCGAATGGAAAGCTGCAAAAATGATTTTCTTTGCACTCTACAACTGACTAGGAATATTTTTGTGGCAAAACACCCAAAACGCAAAGTACTTACTTGTGTAAGACTTCCAACAGCGACCTTTTCCCATCCATATAATTATTCCGGGCATACAGAATAGCGTCCGCTATAGCTCTAAGAAAAATAAGAACCCAAAACGTCATGGTTATTTCTTTGTTCAAGAAAGCGTGCTTTGCAGTAAACTCACCCTACGAACAGACCCTCTCAGTTTTTTTCTTCTTGATCGTGAAGGCGAAAAGGAGGTTCTACCTTAATCGAGTCAAGCTTTGAAGTTATCTAAGTTGTATCAAGGTTACCCCGCTCATAGGGGTGACATTTTTTCCTTTTTACCTGGTTTGACTGTATTCTCCCAGCTGCTCAATGTAAGAGAGATCAATATCTTCCCGGCCAAACTGAACCTGGAATCCAAACTGCGTCTTCCCCATTACTTTCACCTGGGAAACAAAATTGTACATATAGTCAAGTGAACAAAAACGATTATTTGCATTAATTAAATCACCTTAAATTACATCGCCTGGTAAAAGTAATTATCATTCGCGAAAAGATATTTCTCGGTTTCCGGCAAATTCTTCAAAACCAACTAGCCTCGACCAGATTTGGAAGATGTTAGCCGATATCCTCAAATATGAATCACTTTTACGGATAATTGACACACAAAAAAGGGACAGCAGAAGGCGTATCCTGTGTACAGACCCCCTTCCCTCAGGACCGATTTTTTCCTGAGGGGAGGGGAGGTCTGTATACAGGCTACAGAAGGAGCAGAACTGCAGAAAATGGCGGAAGATTTTGCAGGTTATGCGAAGAAGAAACAGACGATCTGTTGTCTAAAAACAGAGCAAGAATAACACACATTAACACTCAACGGATATATCACACTCAGCTACATTAAATAAAAATGTATTTTGACTCATGTCGAACTGAATCTTTAAGAAATTCAATTTTTGAAGCAAGGACCAGCTTACAAAAAAGAAGGACCGAATCCTACTAAAGGATCTAATCAGCAATAAGTGAAAATATAGAACAAAAGAAGCAAGGCTGATTTTACAGTCGACAATATACAGCTGTTTCGAGAAACGTTGTCGGAAAAAGTGCACGCGACAATCGCGAAAGGTATTGTGGGTGGTTTTTAGTTAACTGTTTTTCAAAGAAATTTCAAAGAATGGCAAGAAAGGCCATGGACGTATGTTTGCGAGTGCTAAAGGAAAGCAACAAAAGTAGGTTCGACAGCTACAGTGTCAAGAACAAGTGTATTGATTATATCCCATATTAGCTTTCGGGATTGTCGCGTGCACTGTTTTTCCGACAACCTTTCTCGAAATAGCTGTATATATATTTTTAGCAATATTTCGGCACGGCCTTCCTTCTTCAGGGTCTCACATATAATGAAGAGGTTAAGCTAAGACGTTACAATTTGAAATGAAGAATAGCGTGCAATATGATACTATAATAACACGTGAAAATTTAAACGATAAAAAAGTGAACGTTGAAAACAAAAACCGTTGAAGTAGTGATTGGAAAGAAATTTGAAAGGTAAAAATAGTACAAGTGTTGATTTTCTCATGGCAAGGAAGAGAACCATGAGGCAGGTGCTGACACCTTGCTCCTCGATTGCTACGCAAACCAGTGCAGCTGAGGCAAGCGTCCGCTATCCAGAGGTGGGGCCCTGACCAAACCAGTTTGCTAAGCTGAATACACGACGCGTTTAGACAACCGGGGAATAACCTCAGCTAGCGGCGAGAGCTAGCTTATTTCTAGGCTCCAAGAGAGTAGTAAAGGAAAACGTGATGCTCAGCGCCGCTTTTCGTTCGCGAAAAATCGTTAACTTTGTTACTTTTGGACTTTTCGCAAGGTCATCGCGAAAAATCGTTAATTTTTTTATAAATCCTGGACATAAGCGGGCTGGAGAGAGAGAGATAGAGGGGGCGCGTCTTATTTTCGCTTGGCTTATTGCACAATTTTTGCGACGTCCCTACCATCTGGGGGCCTGGCAAAGGCTATAGGAGAGGGGCGGAACGCAGCTCTTTACAAGCCCTCACAGAATTGGCTGTGAAAAAAATAGACATAGAAATATGGGGATAGGAGAGAGAGCTGGATTAGAACCCTGGCAGACCGAGTCGAGACCACTCTTCCATACTGTGAGCGGATACTTTCCGAACGTCACAAGAACTGTCAGGAATAACCTGAGATCAGGCCCAGTTTTGCCGGTTCTCATTCATTCTCTCTAACGGTTATTTTCAAAGCGAAACGACAATAGAGCCTGATCTCAGGTTAAGTCAGGAATAAAGGGGTGCTCGAGTTATGAAAGTGCACAACACTGAGATACGAACCCTCTCTCTGTCGCCCCTGGAGGCGTCAAAACTCTCTGCTATTGGTATTCGCGGTGTTGGCATCTCGAATGGAATTCTGGGTTGAGGATTGCTGTCCGCATGTTCTCGGGCGATGGCCTGGAAAACAAAATCAAACGTTTCTAGAAAGAGCAAAGGATACTGACATTCGAATCATTCACGGCAATTCCATCACAGATAGTAGAACCCTAAGATTACTCACCAGTGCTTGATTCGTGACATCGCGCGCGGAGTAGCAGTCCATCATGATCACGTGATCAGCAACCTGCGATGAGAAGTAGACATTGAAAGGATCGATCAAGCTACGTACTTTAGTCTGAAAATTAGTACGGTAGACTAGGATGTTTCGATATGGATTGATTATAATACAAGTAAACTTGTATGGAAACTAACGTGATGGAAAGCGAGACTGCAATAATACTATTATGGTGAAATGGCAGAGCAGAGCAAAGAGAAGTCTAGTCGTAGTGTTATTATGCATTCCTTCTTAGCCCTTCCTGGCAAAATATGGACGGTAAGGAAAAAGAAAAGTATTCCCCCGACAAGGGAAACTAATTGAGACACACCCGTATGCTTGAAAATTAGAAAGCGGCATACAATGCGCGGGTGCTCCTTTATGTCAGACCTCTAAAGCGTAAAGTATGCATGCGCTCGATCTGACACAAGTCAATTTTTTGGTATTTTTTAGAACGAATATAATGCTGCCTTGGTGACGCTCACCGGAACTGATTACACATTTTGATCTGAAAATGGGCAAGGATTTCAAAAAAACTGTCGAGGCAATCCCTAATATAATTTTGGGGATGGCCCCAAGGAGTTTCTCAAACCCACCGCCGCTTTCATGTGAACACCGCTTCTTACACAGGCCGGATAACTGATGTCTATTCCATAAACAGCTGGCTTACATACCTGAAAATAATCTCCTGAACCACCGATAACAAGAATTGTCGAGACGCCAAAGTCTTCATATAAGCTGCGCACCTAGCACAGAACATAGATTTTAAGTAAAATCGTGTCCATGACACCAAAGCAAAGCAGAAAATGGAAATACAAAATACATTCACATGTGAAGGAAAAATAGTGCAGCGGTGAAATCACTCGCCTCGCCTCGCCTCGCCATACGTGGGATGAGTAAGCTGTTGGTTCTCTCCTTTGCTCTGAGAGGTTTTTCTCTGGGAACTACGGTTTCTTCTCTCCTCAAAAACCAACATTTCCACACTGATTCCAATTCGATCAGGAATCGGGTAAACGAACAACCACTAAGTGGATGTGCTACCTCTGAAACGTTATTTATTTACTTATTTTATTTATTCATAACATGATAAACCTACCGGTAACAGGTACAGTGGAGGAACTAACCTTGGATATAAACGGTGTTATTGGTTCTTTTTCAGTAGCCACCAGTTTCTGCATTCGAGAATCCCTAATCATGAAATTTGTAGCACTGGTATCCTGTAAAAACAAAATTTAGAGTGTAAATTTAATTGCTGTGTCATTTACTTGAAGATTCAAAATGGGAAACAAAGAATTAGATCTTGCAGTTCCAAGAAAATAGTCACCTCGTCAATCAGAAGACACTTGGTCCCAGTTTCCAGGGCTTCTATAATATTAGCAGACTGTGAAGTGGAGCCACTGGCGTCCTGGGTACTAAACTTGCTTGTGTCACGGCCGAACGGTAAATTGTTTATAAATGGGCGGATATCGACCTTCTCGATACTTCTGCCTAGAATAAAAGAGAATTTTTTTTCCTCCTTTGAAAAAAACCACTATTTTACTTAGTGGAAAACACTTCAGAGAGTGAATGATAGAGTCTTGCAAGATGGTTCTAACTTTTGCGACTGTGGGTAAAATCCTATGATGTTACCATACAATTGAAACCTCTCCAGCAGTACTTTCACATGGTACTATTCATTTAGTATGTAGTTCTAACTTTAGAGTCTGTGGAGAAAATCCTTTAGTGTGACCATTCAAATAAAATCTCTTTCGCAGCACTTTCGCGGGGTACTATTTAATTTGTAGGTAGCTCTAACTCTTAAGATTGTAGATGAAATCCTATGGTGTTACCATTCAAATAAAACCTCGTTCGTCGTACTTTCACATGTAGATGTAACGCTTAGGTATGTGGAGGAAATCCTTTGGTGTGACAATTCAAATGAGACCTCTTTCGCAGCACTTTCACATGGTACAATTTGTTTTAAATGTAGTCATAACTTTTGAGTCTGTGGACGAAATACTACGATGTGACCACTCAACTGAAACCTCTTTGCAGTCCTTTCACATGGTACTATTTGTTTCAGCAATTAGCAAAATGAAATTTTGGAAGTGAAAAAGTTAAATAGACGAGGTTTTAGTAATAAATAGGACTATACTAACCATCCTCTGCCCTTATCGTGAACGCAGTAGGGTCAGTGCAAACAAACTCTCGACCATCTCCAGGGACGTGGTTGTACACTCCAACCTGGATAGCATTCAAAAGGGTAGACTTGCCATGAAAACCTCCTCCTACAATCAGAGTCACTCCTCGAGGGATGCCCATCCCTGTTACTCTTAAAAAGTAAACCACATGAAAAATGAAATGTTTTTAAGGAGAAACTGAAAAGTCTTGGATAAATAACACAAAACTATTAAACGTCGCTATTGAACAGGCTAAGAGGTGTGCGAATTAAGGTTGGTTTCGCTGCATTGATTGACCGTGTATTCGTTGTCAATGCAACTCCATAGTAACAAGTGTACTGATTGGAAAATCTAACTGGAACTAGAACTGGAACGTGTCCAGGATCTAGAAGACCTTCAGGGACCGATCCACACCGGTTTCCAGCGTTTTAAGGTAGTCGGTTAGATTTTTCGTAATAGATATATTTTTAATGAATAAAAAACTTTCCATGTTGCAAAGCTTCATCCAAGGTGAATGGAACTGGCCAATATTCTGTCTAAACTACTCGGAAACCCAGGAAAGGAGACTTTCGGGAGCTAAAATCTAAAACATTTCCCACGAGGACCATGCCCTCGAACCCCCTAGAAGCTTACGCCTTCGGCGCTCGTTCAGGAAATCGGTCAGTATTTATCCTAGATCCGCGCATGAGCTTACCGTAGTAAGCACATACAATGAAACAAGGTCCAGTCTTGGATAGCCTGCGTAGCAAGTGATTGAAAGTTTGAAAGTAAGGGCGCAAGAAAGAACGGGGCATGCATGTGTTTAAAACAAAGGTAAATATAAAATAAGGAACATGAAAAAACAGATTTCGATTTGTGAAAATTTGGTTCCTTTTCATATTAACTTACTTTCCGGCATGAGGTAGGTCAAACTCAACACTCATGCTTTCGGGGCTTTTAAACAGTGTAACATCATTCTTGTCCATCGGGCAGTCATCTGCACCGCTAACGCGCGGCAAGATCGCACCATCCCTGACAAATGCAGCAAGATTTGCAGTGGGTAGCTGCGCGCGGAGAAACTCTTGGTCTTCAACGCACTCTATATGCTTCTTTAAAGCATCTTCGTCTTGGCTGGCATAGGGTATAGCCTGAAAAAAGAAACAAAACAAGAAACAAATTAACGCAACTCAGTGTCTTCATTGATAATAGATTCACCAATACCTTAAACTGTACAGGGCTCTTCGGAAGAGGAAAAGTGATTAACCAATAACGTAGCGCCAAAACAATTGACGAGCGAAGCCGAGGGACTAGGAGGGAGAGGGGGCGGTGGCCACCACTTCCCCCCTCCCTAGGTTTGCCTCTTTCTCTTAACTAAGGCGCCAGGTCTCAAGTTACTTACTGTGTGGTTCGACTCCTGTAGTTACCATGGTAAACCCCGGGAACACCTGCGACAAAGTCAGCCCCTGAGGTCCAAGCCCGTTCACAAACTCGCTATTTTATTTTTAGAGACCGTCGAGTGCGCGTATGAAAATAAAAATGGCGCGATATTTATTGACCGCTCGTGCAAAGTATGAAGGCTAGCGGATGTAGGTGTTTTTTTCGAGCGCTTAACGCTGATTCACGTGCTCCGCACTAGCTCTCGCCCGCTCCATTCGTCTGCGCGAAAAGTTTGTGGACAGGCTATTGAGGTCCAAGCATTCAGGAATTTCACCTAATAGTCTCGCCAGGGAGAATGATGAATGGAACTACAACAGCCTATAGAACTAAGTTACCAGGGTAGGCTCTATGGAAAGTTTAAGGTAGACAAAATTTTCTGCAGTCATAAAATATCGCTAAGCTTTGTGATCTTAAAACAAATCATGAAGGTGTTTCTAGCTGCTGTTGCAATAAAACCATGGAACATAAAAAAATGACATTTAGAATTTCCTTTATTTGGAAATCTTAAGCAAAAGGAATTGAGTTATCCAAATACAATGGCTGCAACACGCATGACAATAAGCCTTTCTGGAAAAGTTTGGAGTTCGGCCTGTAATTAAATGAGTCAAGAACAGCTGCAATAAAACGACATGTTCCCGAAAGAAGCAAGGATCCACATGATATAAAGATCCCAGTTATTTGCAGGTCACCTCGTACAATCATAAAGCTGAACTCGCCAATAAAAGACCCTGTTACAAGACTCCGAAGCTTGAAGATGACTTCCTTACCTCCTCAATAATCTGAGGTAAATTTTGCGTGAGCATTTTCATGCAGATATGTCCTTCAATGGACCGACCTCGGGCAGGAAGAGCAATGGTGAATCTCAGCTGAAAAAAGGAGTTGCACAGTAGAAAATTAGTTGTAGTCGGAATTCAGAACCACCTTGTACGGCATAATAAACGATACAACAGCAACGTACTGTTCAGTTGCTTTAATCTGAAGGGTCCCACTTTCGGATTTTATCCATAAACTCAATAGTTAGAACCACCTTGTACAGCATAATGAACAGCACCACAGCAAAGTACTGCTCAGTAGCTTTCATTTGACGGATCACAGTTTAGGATTTTATCAATGAAATCAATAGTTAGAACCACCTTGTACAGCATAATGAACAGCACCACAACAAAGTACTGCTCAGTACCATTCATTTAAAGGATCACACTTTAGGATTTTATCCATACACTTAATATTTAGAACCACCTTGTACATCATAATAAACAAAACCACAGGAAAGTACTGCTCAATAGCTATCATTTGAATGGTCACACCATAGGATTTCGTCAACAGACTCAAAAGTTAGAACCACCTTGTACATCATAATAAACAGTACCACAGGAAAGTACTGCTTAGAAGCTTTCATTTGAATTGTACACTTTAGGATTTCATCCATAAAACTCAAAAGCGGAAATCTCGTTACACATCTCCTTAATTGACCAACGAAGCGAAAGAGTTAGGAAAAGACGTACCTCAATGCTTTCACGTTTCACAAGGCAAGAAGTTCTCTCAAGAACGTGCTGACATGGCCTAAAATAAAAAAAAAGTATAATTAATATAGTAGAACGTTTAAATGGAGCTTCCAGAGCCACCGAGATGTCAATCCAAACACCTCAAAAATGACCCACAGTCATATTTCAGTGAAAAAAGCGAAAACACAACAAAAACAGAGACAACAGCGAAAACAAAGTCAATAGCTAAAAAAGCTAAAAACAGTGAAAACAGGGATAAGAGTGACAACAGTAACAACAGCGCCAACAGTGAACAGAGTCCCAATAATAAAAACACCGACAACAGCAACAACAGCGACAACGGTGACAATGGTGACAACGGTGACAACGGTGACAACGGTGACAACCGTGACAACAGTGACAACAGTGACAACGGTGACAACAGTGACAACGGTGACAACAGTGACAACAGTGACAACAGTGACAACAGTGACAACGGTGACAACGGTGACAACGGTGACAACGGTGACAACAGTGACAACAGTGACAACGGTGACAACAGTGACAACAGTGACAACGGTGACAACAGTGACAACAGTGACAACGGTGACAACAGTGACAACAGTGACAACAGTGACAACAGTGACAACGGTGACAACAGTGACAACGGTGACAACAGTGACAACAGTGACAACAGTGACAACGGTGACAACGGTGACAACAGTGACAACGGTGACAACGGTGACAACAGTGACAACGGTGACAACAGTGACAACGGTGACAACAGTGACAACAGTGACAACGGTGACAACAGTGACAACAGTGACAACGGTGACAACGGTGACAACAGTGACAATGGTGACAACGGTGACAACAGTGACAACAGTGACAATGGTGACAACGGTGACAACAGTGACAACAGTGACAACGGTGACAACAGTGACAACGGTGACAACGGTGACAACGGTGACAACAGTGACAACGGTGACAACAGTGACAACAGTGACAACAGTGACAACAGTGACAACGGTGACAACAGTGACAACAGTGACAACGGTGACAACAGTGACAACAGTGACAACAGTGACAACGGTGACAACAGTGACAACAGTGACAACAGTGACAACAGTGACAACGGTGACAACGGTGACAACAGTGACAACGGTGACAACAGTGACAACAGTGACAATGGTGACAACAGTGACAACAGTGACAACAGTGACAACGGTGACAACAGTGACAACAGTGACAACAGTGACAACGGTGACAACGGTGACAACAGTGACAACGGTGACAACAGTGACAACGGTGACAACAGTGACAACAGTGACAACGGTGACAACAGTGACAACAGTGACAACGGTGACAACAGTGACAACAGTGACAACGGTGACAACGGTGACAACAGTGACAACGGTGACAACGGTGACAACGGTGACAACAGTGACAACGGTGACAACGGTGACAACAGTGACAACAGTGACAATGGTGACAACGGTGACAACAGTGACAATGGTGACAACAGTGACAACAGTGACAATGGTGAAACCGGTGACAACGGTGACAACAGTGACAACAGTGACAACAGTGACAACAGTGACAACTGTGACAACGGTGACAACGATGACAACGGTGACAACAGCGACAACAGTGACAATGGTGACAACGATGACAACAGTGACAACAGTGACAACAGCGACAACAGTGACAATGGTGACAACGGTGACAACGGTGACAACGGTGACAACAGTGACAACGGTGACAACAGTAACAACAGAGACAACGGTGACAACAGTGACAACGGTGACAACAGTGACAACGGTGACAACAGTGACAATGGTGACAACGGTGACAACGGTGACAACAGTGACAATGGTGACAACGGTGACAACAGTGACAACAGTGACAACGGTGACAACGGTGACAACAGTGACAACAGTGACAACAGTGACAACAGTGACAACGGTGACAACAGTGACAATGGTGACAACAGTGACAACGGTGACAACAGTGACAACAGTGACAACGGTGACAACAGTGACAACGGTGACAACAGTGACAACGGTGACAACAGTGACAATGGTGACAACGGTGACAACGGTGACAACAGTGACAACGGTGACAACGGTGACACCAGTGACAACGGTGACAACGGTGACAACAGTAAACAGAGTCCCAATAATAAAAACACCGACAACAGCAACAACAGCGACAAGAGTGACAATGGTGACAACGGTGACAACGGTGACAACGGTGACAACGGTGACAACGGTGACAACAGTGACAACGGTGACAACAGTGACAACGGTGACAACAGTGACAACGGTGACAACAGTGACAACGGTGACAACAGTGACAACGATGACAACGGTGACAACAGTGACAACAGTGACAACGGTGACAACAGTGACAACGGTGACAACAGTGACAATGGTGACAACAGTGACAACAGTGACAACAGTGACAACGGTGACAACAGTAACAACGGTGACAACAGTGACAATGGTGACAACGGTGACAACGGTGACAACGGTGACAACAGTGACAACAGTGACAACAGTGACAATGGTGACAACGGTGACAACGGTGACAACAGTGACAACGGTGACAACAGTGACAACGGTGACAACAGTGACAACGGTGACAACGGTGACAACGGTGACAACAGTGACAACGGTGACAACGGTGACAACAGTGACAACGGTGACAACAGTGACAATGGTGACAACGGTGACAACGGTGACAACGGTGACAACAGTGAAAACAGTGACAATGGTGACAACGGTGACAATGGTGACAACGGTGACGACGGTGACACCAGTGACAACAGTGACAACAATGACAACGCTGACAACGGTGACAACAGTGACAACAGCGACAACAGTGACAACGGTGACAACAGTGACAACAGTGACAACGGTGACAACGGTGACAACAGTGACAACAGTGACAACAGTGACAACAGTGAAAACAGTGACAATGGTGACAACGGTGACAACGGTGACAACAGCGACAACAGTGACAATGGTGACAACGGTGACAATGGTGACAACAGTGACAACAGTGACAACGGTGACAACAGTGAAAACAGTGACAATGATGAAAACGATGACAACGGTGACAATGGTCACAACGGTCATTACGGTCACAACAGTGGCAACGGTGAAAACGGTGACAACGGTGACCACAGTGAGAACGGTGACCACGGTGAAAATGGTGACAACGGTGACAACAGTGACAGTGACAATGGTGACAACAGTGACAACGCTGACAACAGTGACATCGCTAACAATGAAGACAACGTTGACTACGGTAAAAAGGGTGAGAACGGTGACAACGGTGACAACGGTGGCAACAGTGAAAAGACAGACAACAGTGACAACCGTGACAGTGACAACGGGGACAACGGTGACAACAATGACAACGGTAAAAACAGTGACATCGGTGACAATAATGACAACGGTCACAACGGTGACAACGGTGACAACAGTGACAACAGTGACAACGGTGAGAACAGTGACAACGGTGACAACGATGACAACGGTGACAACGGTGAAAACAGTGACAAACAGTGACAACGGTGACAAAAGTCACAAAAGTGAACAGAGTGACAACGGTGACAAAAGTGACAACGATGACAACGGTGACAACCGTGACAACGTTGACAACGGCCACAACAGTGACAACAGTAACAACAGTGACAACGATGACAACGGTGACAACAGCGAAAAAGGTGAAAACGGTGACAACGGTGAGAATGGTGACAACGGCGACAACGGTGACAACAGTGACAACAGTGACAACGTGATAACAGTGACAACGGTGACAACAGTGACAACGGTGACAACGGTGACAACAGTGACAACAGTCAAAACAGTGCCAACAGTGACAACGATGATAACAATGGCAACAATGAGAACGGTGACAACAGTGACAACGGTGACAACAGTGACAACGGTGACAACGATGACAACGGTGACACCGGTGACAACAGTGACAACGGTGACAACAGTGACAATGGTGACAACGGTGACAACAGTGACAACAGTGACAACGGTGACAACAGTGACAACGATGAAAACGATGACAACAGTGACAACGGTGACAACAGTGACATCAGTGACATCAGTGACAACGGTGACAACGCTGAGAACAGTGACAACGGTGACAACAGAGACAACGGTGACAACGGCGACAATAGTAACAATGGTGACAAGAGTGACAACGGTGACAACGGTGACAACAGTGACAACAGTGACAACAGTGACACCGGTGACAACGGTGACAACAATGAACACAGTGACAACGGTGACAACGGTGATAATGACGACAACGGTGACAACGCTGAGAACAGTGACAACGGTGACAACGATGACAACGGTGACAACAGTGACAACGGTGACAACAGTGACAAAGGTGACAACGGTGACAACGGTGACAAAAGTGACAAAAGTAAAACGATAAAAACGGTGACAACAGTGACAACCAGAGACAACGGTGAGAACGATGACAACGATGACAACGGTGACAAGAGTGACAACCAGAGACAACGGTGACAAAAGTGACAACGGTGACAAAGATGACAACGATGACAACGGTGACAACAGTGACAACAGTGACAACGATGACAACGGTGACAACAGTGAGAATCGTGAAAACGGTGAAAATAGTGACAACGGTGACAACAGTGACAACAGTGACAACGGTGACAACAGTGACAACAATGACAACGGTGACAACAGCAACAACGGTGACAACAGTGAAAACAGTGTAAACAGTGACAACAGTTACAATGGTGACAACAATGAACACAGTGACAACGGTGACAACGGTGACAACGGTGACAACAGTGACAACGGTGAAAACGGTTAAAACGTTGACAACAGTGACAACGGTAACAAAGGTGACAACGATGTCAATGATGACAACGGTGACAACAGTGACAACTGTGACAACAGTGACAACGGAGACAACGTTGACAACAATGACAACGGTAACAACGGTGACAACGATGACAATGATGACAACGGTGACAACGGTGACAACGGTGACAACACTGACAACGGTGACAACGGTGACATCGGTGACAACAATGACAAACAGTGACAACAGTAACAACACTGACGACGGTGACAAAAGTGACAACGATGACAACGGTGAAACCGGTGACAACGGTGACAACAGTGACAAACAGTGACAACGGTGACAAAAGTGACAAGGATGACAACGGTGAAAACGGTGACAACGATGACATTGCCAACAGAGAAAACAGCGACAACGGTGACAACGCTCACAACGATGACAATGATGACAACGGTAACAACAGTGACAACGGTGACAACAGTGACAACGGTGACAAGGGTGACATCCGTGACAACAGTGACAAAAAGTGACAACGGTGACAAAAGTGACAAGGATGACAACGGTGAAAACATTGACAACAGTTACAACAGTGACAACGATGACAACGGTGACAACAGTGATAACAGTGAGAACGGTGAGAATAGTGACAAGGGTGACAACAGTGACAACAGTGACAGCGGTGACAACAGTGACAACGGTGACAACGGTGACAACAGTGACAACAGTGACAACGGTGAGAATAGTGACAACGGTGATAACAGTGACAACGGTGAAAACAGTGACAACGGTGGCAACGATGACAACGGTGACAACGATGAAAACGGTGACAACAGTGACAACGGTGACAACAGTGACATCGGCGACAACAGTGACAACTGTGACAACGGTGACAACAGTGACAACGGTGATAATGATGACAACAGTGACAACGGTGACAACGGTGAGAACAGTGACAACTATGACAACGATGACAACGGTGACACCGGTGACAAAAGTGACAACGATGACAACAGTGACAATGGTGACAACGGTGACAATGGTGACAACAGTGACAACGGTGACAACGGTGACAACAGTAAAAACGATGAAAACGGTGAGAACGGTTACAACAGGGACAACAGAGACAACAGTGACAATAGTGACAACGGTGACAAGGATGACAACGGTGACAACAGCGACAACAGTGACAACGGTAACAAAGGTGAGAACAATGAAAAACGGTGAAAACGGTGACAACGATGAAAACGGTGACCACAGTGACAACGGTGACATCAGTGACAACAGTGACAATGGTGAGAACAGTGACAACGGCGACAACAGTGACAACAGTGACAATAGTAACAACGGTGACAACAGTGACAACAGTGACATCGGTGACAACGGTGACAACGATGAAAACAGTGACAACGGTGACAACGGTGACAACAGTGACAACGGTGACAACGGCGACAACGGGGACAATAGTGACAACGGTGACAAACAGTGACAACGGTGACAACAGAGAGAACAGTGACAACGGTGACAGTGACGACGGTGACAACGGTGACATCAGTGACAAACAGTGACAAACATTGACAACGGTGACAAAAGTGACAACGGTGACAACGGTGACAGCGGGGAGAAAAGTGACAATGGTGACAACGGTGACAACAGTGACAACAGTAACAACAGTGACAACGGTCACAACGGTCACAACGGTGACAACAGTGACAACGGGCAAAACAGTGACAACGGTGACAACAGTGACAACGGTGACAACGATGAAAACGATGACAACGGTGACAACGGTCACAACGGTCACAACAGTGGCAACGGTGAAAACGGTGACAACGGTGACCACAGTGAGAACGGTGACAACGGTGACAATGGTGACAACGGTGACAACCGTGACAGTGACAACGGTGACAACAGTGACAAGGATGACAACGGTGAAAACATTGACAACAGTTACAACAGTGACAACGATGACAACGGTGACAACAGTGATAACAGTGAGAACGGTGAGAATAGTGACAAGGGTGACAACAGTGACAACAGTGACAGCGGTGACAACAGTGACAACGGTGACAACGGTGACAACAGTGACAACAGTGACAACGGTGAGAATAGTGACAACGGTGATAACAGTGACAACGGTGACAACAGTGACAACGGTGACAACGATGACAACGGTGACAACGATGACAACAGTGACAACAGTGACAACGGTGACAACAGTGACAACGGTGACAACAGTGACAACTGTGACAACGGTGACAACAGTGACAACGGTGATAATGATGACAACAGTGACAACGGTGACAACGGTGAGAACAGTGACAACGGTGACAACGATGACAACGGTGACACCGGTGACAAAAGTGACAACGGTGACAACAGTGACAATGGTGACAACGGTGACAATGGTGACAACAGTGACAACGGTGACAACGGTGACAACAGTAAAAACGATGAAAACGGTGACAACGGTTACAACAGGGACAACAGTGACAACAGAGACAACAGTGACAATAGTGACAACGGTGACAAGGATGACAACGGTGACAACAGCGACAACAGTGACAACGGTAACAAAGGTGAGAACAATGAAAAACGGTGAAAACGGTGACAACGATGAAAACGGTGACCACAGTGACAACGGTGACATCAGTGACAATGGTGAGAACAGTGACAACGGTGACAACAGTGACAACGGTGACAACAGTGACATCGGTGACAACGGTGACAACGATGAAAACAGTGACAACGGTGACAACGGTGACAACAGTGACAACGGTGACAACGGCGACAACGGGGACAATAGTGACAACGGTGACAAACAGTGACAACGGTGACAACAGAGAGAACAGTGACAACGGTGACAGTGACGACGGTGACAACGGTGACATCAGTGACAAACAGTGACAAACATTGACAACGGTGACAAAAGTGACAACGGTGACAACGGTGACAACGGGGAGAAAAGTGACAATGGTGACAACGGTGACAACAGTGACAACAGTAACAACAGTGACAACGGTCACAACGGTCACAACGGTGACAACAGTGACAACGGGCAAAACAGTGACAACGGTGACAACAGTGACAACGGTGACAACGATGAAAACGATGACAACGGTGACAACGGTCACAACGGTCACAACGGTCACAACAGTGGCAACGGTGAAAACGGTGACAACGGTGACCACAGTGAGAACGGTGACAACGGTGACAATGGTGACAACGGTGACAACAGTGACAACCGTGACAGTGACAACGGTGACAACAGTGACAACGCTGACAACAGTGACATCGCTAACAATGAAGACAACGTTGACAACGGTAAAAAGGGTGAGAACGGTGACAACGGTGACAACGGTGACAACGGTGGCAACAGTGAAAACACAGACAACAGTGACAACCGTGACAGTGACAACGGTGACAACGGTGACAACAATGACAACGGTAAAAACAGTGACATCGGTGACAATAATGACAACCGTCACAACGGTGACAACAGTGACAACAGTGACAACGGTGAGAACAGTGACAACGGTGA